TTATTCCAGCAAAAATAAAACTGATTTTTCACGGACAAAAATAGCTTATTGTCTATTATAATTCTGCTTGATCGCATCATTTGCTCAAAAATGAACTGAACATCAAAATATCAAATCAGTTTTTCTCGACACCCAGACTTTTTTTGGCTTTTTCCTGGGGTAGTAGGAATCACGACTGAGATAACTTTTGTTCTGCATTTTCGGCTATTGTTTTTATCTGCTAAATATGTTGACTGAAACGCCTGGCCGCGATGGTTGAATCTGATTAGCTGAAAATGCCAAATCAGATGCGATTCCATAAATTGCAGCACAAGATATGTAATATTGGTTTTCGACCTTTTAAGGCATCAGACCCCGAATTTTCAAGAGTTGAAGAATGAATTACATCACACTTAAGATCTTTAAATTTAAATCATCTTTTTTGATTGACACTACTGTAAGGACACTTACACATTATATAAAAGAATAGAGACCTAACTAGAAACTTCTTTTAAATAAAACCACCAAAATAGAAAAACTTTTTTTCTTAGGTCGACCAATTTTATTTACCAAACTCTCCGTCCGAAAAAACCCTATTTTGATTTTTTTAAAAACAGGCTAAAGTGACATTTTGAGCTTACTTAAAAAAAAATTTGACCAAAAAATTGGCAAAATTTTAAATGTTGAAAAAGCAGGCCAAAAAAGCGCGCTCCCCCTCAGAGTTAGTAGGTAGATGTTTACTCCTCCCCCCAAAAAAACCCTACATCCGCCCCTTTCTCATATATAATTTTCTTTTTGTGATAAAGTTAATGAAAAAAAAATGATTTTAAAAAATGTTTGCATATTCTCATTAACTTTTTTACAAAGAGAAAACTTTGATCGGGTCGAGTTTTCCAGTTTATGTTTCGACCGCTCAAAAAATGGTATGTACCGACAGACTTGGCCCAGGCTCGATGTGTTTTGACCGTCTTACTCAAGTAGTCTATGTTTCGGCTATGTTCGACCCAGGAAGAACATTTAGACCAAATTTGAAGAAGCAAAATATTTTCGATCAAGATTGACTTAGGATAAACGTTTCGATATAAGTACTGTTTTCGACCAGCTTTTATTCTGAATATAACAAAAAACGCCCTCTTATACTCTAAGTTTGATAACAAAGTTTAACAATCTCGTAAACTCAAGTTGTTTATTATCTGGTGTGGGGTTATATTTTTTGGCATAATTTTTTTTTATTAAGTAAGGGGTTTTAGAACAAACAACTTGCGTGGTAAACGGCTTTTGAGTCTTTAAAGCGGCCGAAAGTTATTTATTACGCAGAGGCAAAGCTTCGCTTCGCAAAAACTTGTAAGGAGATGACAAAAAGAAACCGGCGACCAGGAAATTATGAGTCCCACGCACTAACCACTCAGCCACGGAAGCTTAATAGACACCAAACACTAGCCACAACAAATAAAGCCGAGAACAGATGTAATGCAATTTCCAATGCTACAACAAAATTTCCAAATAAGTGAACTTTTTTATGAACATTTTATTTGCGAATTAGGTTAGAAAAAGGAAGGTTCGTAATAACACACTATGCTGATCGCAAGTTTAAAAATGAATCAATTGCCGTTCAACTAAAAGGAATTAAATGAAGCAAAATTTTGCTTCTTTTATACTGAAACCCTTGAAATATAAATTTTGCTCCAATTCGCCTGCGGTCAGTGACAATTTGAAAATTCTCCATAATTCTGCCGTTTTTATGTTCGACCGGATTAATTATTAAGCTCCTGGATATGTTAACTTTCTTTGAGATTTTCACGGTTTCGTTCCAAATTTTAGAATACTCAACCTGAATGGCTGATTTTGTTTTCACCCATTCGTCCTGCACCTATGAGGGATTCTACCCAACCTTTGCAGCCGAAATCGGTCAAGCTGTGGTAGAATTGAAGCTGGAGGTCAAGTGAGAGCTCGTCCTCTTACAATACCATTGTCAAGGAAATCGATTACTCGATCTGACAATCACGAAGTGAACGCCTTACCACTATACTTAGCGCCTCAATTATGAAAAATGTTCTGCGCATAGATCATTAACACGAGACCAAATTTGTTTGACACATGATTAGACTTAATTAGCACTCGATTAGCGATCGAACTCACTCCATCACTTTCACTCAATTTGATAATTGCGACTCATTCCAGCATTCTTTTGAGTAAAAAAAATTGGATGAAACATTTAATTAATTCGGCTCTAGGCTCAATTCGCTGTACCATCACAAAAAAATGAATGATAACTAAACTCATTAATTCTAATGATGCATAACATTGTGCCATGATTTTATAATTATTATGAGACAAACCTTTTAAAGATAACAATACTATTGGCGAAAATTTTATTAAAAATCCATGAGAACAGTCATTAGATCTCTTTAACTATTCCCCCTGTGGTATCTAGTAACGGATTGCCACCCCCAGGGGCGGATCTAGGATTTCTCTCGAGGGGGGGGGGGCGGATTTTCAAACACATTATATAAAAGAATAGAGACCTAACTAGAAACTTCTTTTAAATAAAACCACCAAAATAGAAAAACTTTTTTTCTTAGGTCGACCAATTTTATTTACCAAACTCTCTGTCCGAAAAAACCCTATTTTGATTTTTTTAAAAACAGGCTAAAGTGACATTTTGAGCTTATTTAAAAAAAAATTTGACCAAAAAATTGGCAAAATTTTAAATGTTGAAAAAGCAGGCCAAAAAAGCGCGCTCCCCCTCAGAGTTAGTAGGTAGATGTTTACTCCTCCCCCCAAAAAAAACCCTACATCCGCCCCTTTCTCATATATAATTTTCTTTTTGTGATAAAGTTAATGAAAAAAAAATGATTTTAAAAAATGTTTGCATATTCTCATTAACTTTTTTACAAAGAGAAAACTTTGATCGGGTCGAGTTTTCCAGTTTATGTTTCGACCGCTCAAAAAATGGTATGTACCGACAGACTTGGCCCAGGCTCGATGTGTTTTGACCGTCTTACTCAAGTAGTCTATGTTTCGGCTATGTTCGACCCAGGAAGAACATTTAGACCAAATTTGAAGAAGCAAAATATTTTCGATCAAGATTGACTTAGGATAAACGTTTCGATATAAGTACTGTTTTCGACCAGCTTTTATTCTGAATATAACAAAAAACGCCCTCTTATACTCTAAGTTTGATAACAAAGTTTAACAATCTCGTAAACTCAAGTTGTTTATTATCTGGTGTGGGGTTATATTTTTTGGCATAATTTTTTTTTATTAAGTAAGGGGTTTTAGAACAAACAACTTGCGTGGTAAACGGCTTTTGAGTCTTTAAAGCGGCCGAAAGTTATTTATTACGCAGAGGCAAAGCTTCGCTTCGCAAAAACTTGTAAGGAGATGACAAAAAGAAACCGGCGACCAGGAAATTATGAGTCCCACGCACTAACCACTCAGCCACGGAAGCTTAATAGACACCAAACACTAGCCACAACAAATAAAGCCGAGAACAGATGTAATGCAATTTCCAATGCTACAACAAAATTTCCAAATAAGTGAACTTTTTTATGAACATTTTATTTGCGAATTAGGTTAGAAAAAGGAAGGTTCGTAATAACACACTATGCTGATCGCAAGTTTAAAAATGAATCAATTGCCGTTCAACTAAAAGGAATTAAATGAAGCAAAATTTTGCTTCTTTTATACTGAAACCCTTGAAATATAAATTTTGCTCCAATTCGCCTGCGGTCAGTGACAATTTGAAAATTCTCCATAATTCTGCCGTTTTTATGTTCGACCGGATTAATTATTAAGCTCCTGGATATGTTAACTTTCTTTGAGATTTTCACGGTTTCGTTCCAAATTTTAGAATACTCAACCTGAATGGCTGATTTTGTTTTCACCCATTCGTCCTGCACCTATGAGGGATTCTACCCAACCTTTGCAGCCGAAATCGGTCAAGCTGTGGTAGAATTGAAGCTGGAGGTCAAGTGAGAGCTCGTCCTCTTACAATACCATTGTCAAGGAAATCGATTACTCGATCTGACAATCACGAAGTGAACGCCTTACCACTATACTTAGCGCCTCAATTATGAAAAATGTTCTGCGCATAGATCATTAACACGAGACCAAATTTGTTTGACACATGATTAGACTTAATTAGCACTCGATTAGCGATCGAACTCACTCCATCACTTTCACTCAATTTGATAATTGCGACTCATTCCAGCATTCTTTTGAGTAAAAAAAATTGGATGAAACATTTAATTAATTCGGCTCTAGGCTCAATTCGCTGTACCATCACAAAAAAATGAATGATAACTAAACTCATTAATTCTAATGATGCATAACATTGTGCCATGATTTTATAATTATTATGAGACAAACCTTTTAAAGATAACAATACTATTGGCGAAAATTTTATTAAAAATCCATGAGAACAGTCATTAGATCTCTTTAACTATTCCCCCTGTGGTATCTAGTAACGGATTGCCACCCCCAGGGGCGGATCTAGGATTTCTCTCGAGGGGGGGGGGGGCGGATTTTCAAAAAATTTTCCAACTTTTTTTTTTTTTTAGGTCGACCAAATTGATTTTTCGAGCTCTCCCAAAGCACGGTTTTGTCCCTATTGTGGCCAAATTTTTTGCGCCGCAGGCAAATTTTTGAAAAAACAGGTCAAAAAAGGCGTTTTTAGGCACTTTTTGAAAAATTTTGACGAAAAAAATCGCGTTTTTTGGCGCGCGCTCCCCCTCAAAGCTAGTATATATTGGCGCCAAAGGCGCCTTTAGAAAAATTTTAGGGTCGGTCGGCAAAAAATTGATTTCTTAAAAAGTACCAAAGGGGGGACCCTTTGGGTCGGCAGGGGGTCGAATCCCTGAGGGGGGGCGTCCGCCCCCCCGCCCCCCCCCCCCTAAATCCGCCCCTGGCCACCCCTATAATGAACTCATTCACTGGTTAAGCATATGTGAACTTTGTACCAAGTAAGGAATCTCCCTCCTCTATTCTAAATAACTCATATTTTAAAAAAAAATCAACGGTTAAGTACATGTGAACTTTGTACCTAGTAACGAAAGGGGATAGTTGAAGAGATCCCAGTCATTTACCTCTGCTATCAAAACATTACCATTTTTTGTCCAATATACAATTTGACCTCTCTATCTTTCACTTTTAGTCCGTCTTCACTCTTCTCGAATACCAGCCGATCTGAAGACATATGAGTCCGTTCAATGCTGCTCCTAAACTGTATGAGAACACCAGCTGAGGGTCATTCGTCTCCTGAATAGACGTGAACACTCTCGCAACACATCCGGCGAACAGGAGGAACATCGTGATCAAAGACAATTGACCTACAGTACCTTTCCTGTTACTCCTTGTCTCAATTAGTATGATTTTAAAAATCTTCAAAAAATAGAACATGAAAAAACATACACTTAATTTGAGATATCTACTTCAGAAGACACTTTCAAGAAAGTAGGGAGGAGAGTTCAATAGTTCGGCCTATAATTTATGCAGCTTACATGATGTTGCAAGGAGCTAGCCGGAAAGATCTGACCTGTACTCTGGTTGCGGAGATTCGTTACTATTTGCCATCCTCTAGCTGTTATGACCACGAAAATATTCAGTCCGTTCACAATTTTTAGCGTGCTCAGAGGCACAGCCCCCGAGCACAAAAATGCGACTGTTAATAAACATAAGACTGAGAAAAGTAGAGCAAGCATTGATTTATTGGCATAATGTATACATAGATGTGCAATGGCTAGCGTTTGGAGAATGTTGAAAAATGCGTCGCCATAAGCACTGAAGGGATATTCTGCAATGAAGCAATAGGAGAAGTTAGCTGTGCAAGCTACTATGTCCAAGAATTGGCTGAAGAAACTGACTCCTTGAGCATTGCCGGCACTGAGAATTGGTGAAATGATACGTTAGGTGGTATGATTCTGATTTTTATTCAATTTATCGAAAAAAAAATTGATTTCACATTTAAAAAGTTTAAAATAATTGAATTTAAGTACCTTGAAAATGAACGCTAGGAAAAAGAGCTAAACCATCGCAGCCATTTATTTAACCAATATACCACAAATCCTTGTTGCGAAAAGGTTAATATTATCTTCTCAAGGTGAGCGGTGTTAACGTATCTGTGGAGCTCTTCAAGCTCTTCTGTTCGAGACCCACCATGATCCCTGCTTGTTGCTTCAGGGTGAGCCAAGATTTTTCGTCCAGAAAAATAACCGAAAAGCAGCATGTAATTGTGAACCAGGGGCACAAAAGCGGTTTTTCCTTAAGAGCTAAACAATTAGCTCTATCCATTTAGGTGAAGTTCAAATTAAGCATAGATCGCTCATTCTTCAGTGTTTCGAAGAAATAAACGCGGTTTACTCTCGGGATGTTTTTTTTGCAAAATCAATTCACGATCATTTTGTTACCAAACTTCTGGTATAAACCAAATTTCTCCGCTTCGTCTTTAAACAGGCAGTCTTGATCATCGTAATCTCGACATAATTTGAACAACCAAATTTGTTCCTGGTATTGAAAGAAGCGCCATATTATAAAACAAAGCTCGACCTGAGTAAAACAGAGATACAGTGCAGAAGTGTCAATGACCTCAAGAAAACCCAAAAAATTTTCAACTTTCGAATTTGTACTAAAAGATTTACTAACTTTTAGGTTCTTTGAAACTCATGAACATTTTATGAGCGAACTTTTTCCATTAAAAAAGTGGTAGTAAAAAAGCTAAGATACGCCCGAAAGTAAAGCTCCTCCCTACTTACAGTTTTGCGAAGAATAATAAATATATTCAGGGGCGGATCTATGATTTTCTCGGGGTGAGGGGGGATTTTCAAAAAATTTCAAAAATTTTGCCGACTTTTTTAGGTCGACCTAATTGAATTTCTGAGCTCTCCCAAATCACTTTAAAGACCCCCACTTTTACAAAAATTTCTGCTCCGCAGGCAAATTTTTGAAAAAACTGGCCCAAAGCGGTTTAAGGCACTTTTTGGAAAATGTTGACCAAAAAATCGCGTTTTTTGGCGCGCGCTCCCCCTCTCAAAATTGATATATTTTGGCGCCAAAGGCACATTTAGACAAATTTTGGGGTCAGTCAGCAAAAAATAGATCTCAAAGTAGTACAAAGGGGGAGACCCTTTGGGTCGGCAGGGGATCGAATCCCTGAAGGGTGGCGTCCGCCCCCCCTCTGAATCCACTGGTGAATATAATGATGATAACTGTACAAAAATGAGTGTGTTGGTTCACTTTTCTTTCGATTTACGAAATTTTAAAATTTTAAATTGATCATACAAACGCTGAAGAAATTTACAATTATAATCAAACAAAACATTGGGCTGACCATTATGTACCACCTTTTGTATCATTTGACCTGAGAATCTTGAGGATCTGTGGAAACTTGACGACACATGATGCGACTACAATTAGGTATCCGAGACACTTGCTCACAAGTTCTTTACCACAATCGACGTCTAAGAAATTGTGCTTTATGAAGTAGTTGTCGGCACACTTCTGTGAAATGAGATAGAGGGACAATCTCTCTAACTGGTCCATTTAAACCTGAAAATGGCAATAAGGGTTCAAAAGAACGTATTATTGATATTAAGAACAACTATCCATGATGGGAAGCGTGAACACGCGAATTTTTTGTCTTATTACTTTGGGCTCTGTCGTATTTTTTTAAACTTATAATTTGATTTCTTGCAAAGAAAACTCCTACCATGTGGCTCCTGCATTTGCTCCCAATTCTCTTAACTTTCCTCCGAATTCTTTAATTACATCTCAAAAAATTACTGAGCGGATTAAATAAGCGAAGACTGACACTTCAAATTGTTCATGCACTGGTGATTTGCATTATTGCTGAGAATTGGTTCCTGAATTACCAAACCCCTAAACTACCAAATGAATGGCCACTAAAACACCTATCATGAAGGACGGATAATCAACAAACCGCCAAATCTACAAACCGTCATATGAACAACCCACCTTGAGATATCTTGAAGCCGAAATTGCGGAATTAGGTAAATTACATCAGAATTACGTAACAATTGCATAGCAACAATGACAATCTGTTGTTATGTTGAATAACAATATTAATTTTGGGCTTGTTGGAATGGTAATCCTATTTCCGGTTTGTTGGCCCTTCGGCTGGTTGGTCTAACACCATCAAGGAGTGGGAGTGTTAAAAAGTCTGTTTCTAATCATGATTGAATTATTTTACATATTTACAAATAAGAACATTTTAGCCGTAAAATGACTGCTGTTCTATGGGCAATTGCGTTACCCTTGCTACTCCTCTTTCGTAGCCTTTCTCTCAACATAATTTGCTCCATTTTCACCCCCATCTTCATAGTCGCCAAAGGAGTCCCCTTCGCGAATATGTTCCACAGTGGTGGCAATTTCTTCCATTGATTTCTCCATTATGTCCCAGAAATCTTCGACTTCCCTCACTGGATCCACAGAGTACATCCAGAATAGTGCAAATCAGGGTTTTTTTGTCAATTTATAATAGGTACTACAGTGCTGATTTAGATAATCCGGAAAAAATTTTTAATGAAATTTTAAACGCATTTTTCTCAAATTGACTTTAGACAAAAATGATGATCAGCCTTGCTTAAAATTTTAACAGAATTATTATGGTATAATTTGTTTTGCGAAATTCGGGCCCAAAAATGTATCCCAAAAACGATCATTTTTAGTTTAGTCAATCAAAAATTACGCCAGAACTACAGGATCCATTGCTGATATAACTATAGCAAAACAAGTCTCTTATTTAGCCCAACAAAATTAAAGAAGGATTTAACCTCCTAAAGCGGATGCAAAAGGTTTTTTTTAAAGTTTTTATTACAAGAAATTGGTGCTTTATATATAAAATGACATTTTTGGCTATCAATCGAAAATAAATATGTTTATACAAAGCGGAGAAAAATATAACATTCTCAAATTTTGTCACCGAATTATACCCTAGTTTGTCGCCAATTTTGCAAAAAGTTGATTCTGTTAAAACTTTAACCAAGATTGGCCTTCAAAATTTGCTGTGTAATCTAAACCCAATTTGAGAAAAACGTGTTATAAATTTCATGTTTTATTCATTTTGTCCGGATAAATTAATCAGCAACTATATAAAAGAGCAAACTGTCTCAATTTATTAAGCAGCTGTTATACGTTATACATTATGTCGCCAGAACTAACAAAGAATAAACACAGTAGCTTTTTAAACTTCTATACTACACAGCGATCTTGTTTTAAGACCATGTAAATTAACCATCTAGAATAATCGCAACCAAAAAAAATACTAACAATTCCAATCATGGTCTTCCTCAAATCAATTGCACAAAACTGAAAACGCCGATTATTCTTTGTTAAGTTATGAGATGCAATATTTAGAAAACACGATGTCTACTATGAGACGCATAGCGAAGTTTCATTCTATAAAGCAATGCGAAAACTGTTTTTAAAAAGAAGGCGAAAGAACGACAATTAACAAAGACAGGAGCTTCAAAAGCATCTGAATTGGCGTGTATCAGCGTAGCTGCTAAATAATATAATGAAATCTAGAGTACAAACAAGACTGCTCGTATCAGGGCGAAGCCCTGAATGTTCCGACTGCCTTTTAAGGTTTATGGAGCAGCAGTAAAAACATAAAAAAAATTAAATGAAATAAAATAAAGCGAAAACTTTTTTTTTAAATTTTTTATGAAAATCATCCCCCACACGCCATATAAAATACAGAAAGATAGTTTTCGTTCCGTGTAACAAAATAATTAGGGCAAATAAGCTTCGTTCAACCAATTTGGAACGATTTCTAAGACAGATTAATTCTCCGCTTACGCGTTAATAGCTCGAATTATATCGAGCGTTAACTGTCCCAAATTGGTCAAAATGGCCAAAATGGCAACCTTTAAACCCTCATATCCTTACGAAAAATGATCACAGGTGAAATATCTTTTCAAATTTAAGCTCAAGACAACAATACCTTTTGAATGATATAAAAAATGGCTAGTTAAAAAGTCGAAATTTGTCTGAAGAAAAAAAAAACCCACCCCGAGCACAAATATTCCGTTACTTTCGTATCGAAAGTCGGAACAATAATCAGCGAAGCAATGTGGAGTTGAATGAATATTCAGTCATCACGGAGCAGGGATGGCAGAAATTTAAACGTCATTAAAGGCATATTATTTTTCAGGTGTGATGTATCAGCCAACCCTGGGCTGGAACAGGAAAAAAAGGTTAGCTTCATCATCGCAAAAATGCATGCCAAGTTTGGTATTGTTGGCTGGTTTAGAAAAACTTCGAAGGCATCAGTGAATTTAGTTTCCACTTATTTAGAGTCATCGCAAAAAAAATTAAGACATAGCATCTACACTACAATGCGATTTAGAATATTGGCGATTCTAGCCGTATTATCGCCTTCTATTTGTAAAGAGGAGAAGCGACAGCTTCAAGCACAATACCCATAGGTCAGGGGCGGTTTTAGGTGGGCGATGTTAATATAAAATTTCTCCAATGCACAAAATGTTCCAACCCTAGTTACAAATATAAAAAGTTTAAAACCACGAGACGATAAATCCCGCCATTTTAAAACGCATTGAAAACATATTGACAAACGTTCACATTAAGTTTATACGTTCAATCTGAATAATACTGATTGTGAACTTTGACAAACGTAAATCAAATTCAACATTACAGCTCGTACCATGGCGCGACGTCGATGAAAGGTTTTAGGTATGAAAAATTGTTCAAAAAAATGAAAAAGGAACAATTTTTTCTTTCAATTTTGTTTTTCCCCCCGATATTTTAAGCCCCCCACAAGCCATGCAATGAACAAAGTTGATAAATAATGCTTCTGTTATAATCGCTTGCCCCAATTTCTCTGCCTTGATTCATATGGAATGAATTAATTTGCCGCTCAGCTAACTAGAATAGGAAGAAAAAATACTGCGTTAATTAACCCAATTTGAACTATAGTATTTTTTTCATTTTGGGTTTTGAACATAAAAAAAACCGCCAAAAATAGCCCGCCAAAATTAACTAATTAAAAATTCGAAATTTGTCTTGAAAAAAATACCGGGTACAAGTATTCCGTCACTTTTTTCGAAATTCGGAACAGCAAGTCTGTCGACTTTTAATTTTAGCCCGCATACTTCCTTGACTTTTGATTTCAACACGCAAACATCTGACATTTAAATTCAACACACATACTAAAAGACTTTTAATTTCAGCACATACCTTTCAGTAAATTTTTATTTTGAAAAGTGCTGTTCTAAATAAGTGCTGAGCTCAATTTAAAAGATATTTTACCTCTGACCATTTTTCGTAACGTTATGGAAGTTTGAAAATTGCCAATTTGAGTTATTTAATCTCGCGAGATATATTTCGCGCTGTGTAAGCGTAGATGGCAAATTACATCATTCCAAATTGAATTTCTGGCCAGCATCATCATAACCGGTTTTGGTATTTAAGGTGCTGCGGTAGTCCCAGTCACTGGGGTTGGCAACATCTGGCAACGTCTAACTCCTGCTCTCGATCCTTCCCTGTCCCGCGGATCGGCGCCAGACAGGTTGCAGACACTAACATCATTACTCACACACTCTGACCACGTCTTTCTGGGTCTCCCTCTTCCTCTGCGGCCAGGGATTTCCATGCTGGTGACAGAGTTGATGCATGACGAGGCACGTTGCACGAGTTCAAACCAGCTGAGACGTCGTGTTCGTAGGACAGACGTGATCACAACGACCCCCAGTTTCTGAAGTGCAGCCGTGGAAATGTCATCCAGTTTGGTGCCAAAGATCCAGCGAATCATTGCACGATCATTTCGGCGGAGACGCTGCAAGTCCGGGACATTTGGTGCCCATGTCTCACTACCAGCGATTTGCTTTTATTGATGAGTTAGCAGGCTCAGACTATATCATTTCGTACTTAAGATAGCGTGTGGGGGTCAAGGAAGTATGCGGGCTAAAATTAAAAGTCGACAGACTTGCTGTTCCGAATTTCGAAAAAAGTGACGGAATACTTGTACCCGGTATTTTTTTCAAGACAAATTTCGAATTTTTAATTAGTTAATTTTGGCGGGCTATTTTACAATAACAAAAAGAAAAAAATAAAATAATTGCATTTTTCCCACTATTTTATCAATTTGTTGGAAAAAGAATTTTTCATAGTTTTTGGACGGCAGTCAGAGCTGCTTCACGTTATAACCAGCACTCTCAAATTTTTCTTCACTGTTCTATTATAATTTTATTGTCAACTAGCTGAAATTAAACGCATTTTGTTAAAATTAAACGTTTTTGTTGGTAAATTTGAAATTATATTAAATAAGTTAAGCTTGTTGAAATATACAATCAGGAATGTTGAAACTAATTGCAAATAGACGTTAGTGTCAAATGGTTTACTGATAAAAATAAACAAAGCCAACACTTAGAATAGAGTCAATGAACGCCAGTAAACCGAAAAAACGTACTTGTTTTTCTTTTGAAAAGCTTCAACTTTGAAACTTTAAAACAAAACAAAAAACAGATGACCTTCAAGCTCTTTGACTTCAAAAATAGATTTATGATTAGCCTTTGTTTGATAAAGTTAAACCAGTTTTGAGAAAACTGTATTACAAGGTGAAGTTTCTATTCTGCAGGGAATTCTGAAAATTAAATTCCACTTTCGAAATGCGAAGTCGCTCACGTTTTTTGTGACCTTTACACTTTTGCTGTTTGATAGCAGATTTTCACTTTTTTGTAAGAAAAGAAATGAGCTGAACTTAAAAAATTCAACAGCCCTACGGCGAAAAAGTTCATTTGAGCCGCCTGAACAAATTTATGACTTTTCCTCGGAAAAAAATTGAAAAAAAAAATCATTGCGACTTATATGAGAATCTAAGCTACGTTTACCGACTCTTAATCAGTTTATCAGCTCTACTAAATTTGAACCGGACTAGCAAAAATTCAGACCAGTTTTTCTCGACACCGAGAAATTTTTGGCAATATCTTTCGTCGAGGGACCTAATTTCGCGTAAAAATGCCAAAAATAGGATCTTTATAGTGTTCTGGGACTGCTCGAAAACTTACTTTGGTCGACCTCAAAAAGGTTGAAAATCCGCCCCCTCCCCCTCGAGAAAACCCTAGATCCGCCCCTGCGTAAGACATATAAAAAAGTACTTTCAAGTTTAATATTTCTGCCTCAACAAAACATGAAGACCAACATCACTATTCTCAAAAGTTGTTCACAAAGCTGCCCTTCCAAGTGACCTTTAATCACGAGCGAATAGCTGTGAAATCATCGCCCTCTGGTATCGCTCCCGATCGGATCTTCTTCTCAACCTCCAACTGCAGAGATTGCATCTCATCGAAGAACCCTTCTGGCTCCATTTAATTATCTTGCTGCACTGGGTTGGGTCTATTGTGATAGATATGTCCTTACACGTTCCTTCATGAAAAATCAATCTTGACAGAACGTTCAAAAGCTCTAAGAATGAAAATTAAAATTCCTGTTCGGAGTGAGTAAACAGAGACGCAAATGAAGAAAAACAATAAAATTTAAAGAAAAAAAAACAGTCAAAATGACTACTAGTTTTTCAATAAACAATTGTTTTTATTTACCCTTAGAAAACAGAAACTATTGTTCTAAACGCCCATCAAGGGGTCCGAAAAGACTATGGCCAGCATGGCCTGTTCCACTTTGCTTCGGGGCTTTATAAGCTCAAAGGAGACTCGTAGGTGAATACCATGCAGCAGCGAAGGTCTTTGTCTTTTTAAAAAAAAACAGACATAGTATACATTGATTAATTACCGCGGAACTTTAAATGATATACGCGAATAGGGTCGTCGGAAGAAGTACTCGTAAAATAAAACGAACTCCTCTCGAGACAACATAAGAGATTTTTGTGTGCAAACAAAATCGCGTAAAAACATCCTACTCATTTTTTTATGTCCTCAAGAGAGACGGTTAAACATGCACAGCAAAAAAGGACCGGCGTCTCAAGGCTTTTTTCATGTAATAACCCACAACATTACCCAATCTATCACAATATTGCCTTTCATGTAATCACACACAACATTACCCAATCTATCACAATATTGCCCGATTGAAACTTACTTCAAGGAATTTATTTTTTAAATAATCAAGCTGAACTAGACTTGCAGGACGTATGAACTCTAACGGGAGTGCTAGCTTTCCAAGAATTTCAGTTATCCAAGGACCAATAAAATGTTAAGGAAAATTGGCACAGGAAGACTACTTAAAAAGTTGAAAACAGCCTTTCTAAATCACAAATGAAACTGTTTTTATAGGTAAACGGCAGTGGTAGTGGTTTCTTCTCCAAATTCAGATGTACAGAAAGCAGCTTGAAAACGCATACTTGTCAGTTGCCGAAATTCTCTAGAACTTGATGAATGAAAGAAATCAAGGTTATCAAAATTGCGAACACGGAAACAAGACATTAATGGACAATTAGTAACAAGAATAACAAAAATAGCTTAGCGAAGAGCCGATAACTGACTTATCAAAATGACTGAATTCTAGTCTGCCTTACCAAAATTTTATCTAGAATTAGATAATCGAAAGACCAATTAAAATGAATTAGACCAATTAAAATGTTGCAAGTATACAATCACTTCTATTATTTACCGGCAATTGAAGATTTGCGTCATGAAAGATAATGCGATGTAAAGTAACTACTGCTAAAAAATGGGCTTCGTTGATAAATCAGGTGCAATTTTACCACTGTTTCGCTCAGTTCTTTTCTCTTTTGTATTTGTGCCGAGTAAAACACGTTACAACTCAAAAATGTGTGACCAAAAAACCATGTCATCAAAATCCAGCTACTCAGACGATGATAATTTGAGATATAACGAGAAAGTTAGAAATCATATGAGCTTTCTGGGCCACGAGATATTTGTGCAAAACTAGTTGAGCAATCAAACGACAGAGCTTATTGCTCGATCTGTTTCACGATGTATTTACATTGCGACAACTTCTATTCTGAAATCCGAAAACGTAAAGGGTTAAATCGATATATTTATAGTTACTTTTATAGGGATAAACCACAATCTTGTCAAAGTGATTAAAAATCATTTTAAATTTTTAAATTCTCGATTTAATTCTTTTATACTATGCTGGTAAAAGAAACAGTTTTATTCCACATCTGCTTCCACATCGTGTAAATTGCTACAATTTCTAGAATCTGTAGAAAGAAATCTGGTTACAAACCACCAAATCAGAAAAAAAAACTAGGGACCCAGCTATAGCTGGAGGTACTTGATTGATAATTTTCGAGCTTGTTGTACTGATGCGGGATGAAATGGGTAATTTCAAAAATTGGGCTTCACCCAAAACCTTAATTGTTTCTCTTATAAAATAAGATGAAGTAAGTCTCCTCTAACAAAATAAGTTTCCCAGACAAAACAATTTTCGCACAACTTTTAAGGCGTGATTACTTAAGCACAGAGGCTTCTCAAAATGTTGCCTTGATTAAACCCGTGATAACAGTCGCAGCTGAGTAGTTTTCGAGAAAAGTCTAAAAGTTTCAAAAACCGACAAGAAATCAAACTTTTCTCAGGGCCCTAAACTTCTGTTAGAATATAGTGGAACTTCACACAACCTGTTTTCTCGATTGAACTCAAAATCTCAAATTTAGGAGTAATTCTCGAGAAAATTCAAAGTTTCGAAAAACTGGCACAAGAGTCACAATTGTGTTGTGACTTTTCCGAGGACGATAATACTTCTGGTTAAAAAATTGGGCGTAGCCGCTGCTGCAGGGGAGCTTACCATGACAAACCTAAAATCGCAGAATTGATCCTATCATAACCTTTCGTGAAATTTGAGCTTAGCTGTTTTACAAGATGGCTTCTTACAACTCGTCCATTTGATTGAAATTCGGATCTTAGATTTGGGAGAATAGTTTTCGAGAAACTGGAAAAAAAAATTTGGGTTAAACCCCCACAGAGTTTTTTGAAAGCTGTAGACAAAGATGTATGGTGAAAGAAGAAGAATATGCAACCACATTGGGAATGGGCATTCTTCTCGTTGTTACCATTTTTAACACTCGTTCCAAAGCCTCTCAAATTGTTCCAAGTTTTAACACTCGTTCCGAATTTTTCCAAAGCCTCTCAAAAAACCCCAATCATTTTATCAAACAGGAATGAATTTTTCAAAAACGAAAGATTTTCAAAAATTTTAAAAATAAACCACAACTCTCCCAAACTACTAGGGATTCCTTTCTTCATTCGAAAATTAAAGCCTGTGGATCAAATATTTTCTCAAATGTTTCAAGAAATTGTCATGTCTTCTAAACTACGAGATTTAGAGTTTCATAAATTGAGCTCTTTGAACCCTATAGCCAATGCTTGAACACCTCGAAAATCGTTAGAAAGTACAAACTCCACCCTTATCAACAATTCATAAATTAATTAAAGCTCCCAAATATGAATGCTATAGTTTTTTTTCATTATTTTTCCTATTAACAAAAGATAAATTCTCTTCTATTGTTTTGATAACCAAAATCCCCTACCTTATTTGGTCAAATAACTTAGACATTTATCAAATCTTAAATACAAAAAATGGCATTTTACGAAAATGGGCATCTCAACAGTTTATCATCCTCGTATATTTACCAAAGAAAAAAAAACTTTACGAAGGACGTCATAAAAAACAATTTTGATTTCCATACTTTTATTTAAAGATCTAAAAATAAACATGCTAAAGCTGCTCCTGAAAAACGAAAACGTTTCTTTTAGCAGAAAAATAGACTGGACAAGAGGATGGTTAGCTGGCTGTAGGGATGGCTGGATAGACGCATGGATGGTTGTCTAGATGGATAGCTAAATTGTTGTTCGGATAGATGGGTCGGTTGAACGACTAGCTGGGTGTATGGATGGCATGGTGGATGGCTGAACTGATAAAAGCATGAAGGGATGGGCAAGATGGATGGATGGATGACTAGTTGGTTGAGTGGCAAAATGGATTGATCGCTGGAGAGATGGATTGATGGCTGGCTTTTCTTTCATTAGCCCACGTTGGTCGGGTTGGGCTCGTCCGTCTCCAGGCTAAGGAACTTCTCAACTTCCACCGGCCTAAGCCACAGGTCTGCGGGAGTGAGTGGGGAGGGATTCTTGGGGTAGTTAAAAATGTGGCATATATTGTGGGGTGCTAGGTGACAGTCCGGGCATAGTGGGGAAACTTGGTTGTCTAGTCGGGAGAGTTTACAGCGGGTTGTTCTGGGGAGATACTTTTCTGTCGGGTCGAACTTAGGGGGCGGTATACAAATTACTTTAGAGGGAGGGATTTCTGCGAGGAGCTTGACTACTAGATTTGTGTGGCTGTGATTTAAAAGGGACTTGTGGTGGTTAAAAAGGAAAGTGCAAACTTCTTCTGGGTTATTAAGATTGAGTGAAGTGTTGAGATTGGTTAAAACGGAGTCAATATCTTCTTTGAAAGCGCTTAAAATCGATTATCGAACTTGACGTGGAGGTGTTGGGTGTGAGTGGTTAAAACTATGTGGGTGATGGGAGCGGTATGACGAGATAAAAAAAATGAGAGGTTAAAAGAGTGTGATGATTTGAAACATTGAAGGTCTCGACCTCACTGTGCAGGTGGGCAGTAGAACTCATGAGTGTAGAGCCGGTAATAACTCTGAGGGCTTGATTTTGGGTAACCTTCAGGTGATTAAAGGTTTTGCTGGCGACATGTGACCAGGCAGGGGAGGCCTTATCTAAAATGGGGCGCGTTAAGGCTTTGTAGGTTAAAAGGAGGTTTCTTTAGACTGTCCCCAATAGGATCCTGCCAACGCTTTCAGTACACCTACCCTGCGGCGAGCCTTGTCAGCGGATCTTTTACACGGTGCAGCAAAGCATAAGGTTGGGTCAAAAGTAACCCCTAAAATTTTTGGGTTTTTGTTAAGAGGGAGAGTTGTTTAAAAATACACTGGGTGTTTCGTTAAAATGATTTTTGTACGATGAAAAAAGGGTAACTGATCCTTTAGAGGACGCGGAAGATAACTTCCTGGAAGTTAAAAAATTGAAAAATGATGAAGGTAATCGTTCAACGATTGAGATGCTGCCTCTACATCAGGGCTTTGGGGAAAAGGATGGAAATCGTCAGGTTAAGATGTGAGACGAACATTATCGGGGGGGGGGGGGGTGTTGAGCGTCATAGACGTAAAAATTGAAAAATGAGCGAAAGAACAGAGCCCTGGGGAACACCACAGTGAACTATTGGTGGGGGGATTCATGGTTTAAAAATGTGGTGGCTTGTCGGCCATTCAAGTAGTTACCCAACCAACGAACAATACCTCTCGGGAGCGGTGAGGCATGAATTAGTTCCACGAGAGTACGACGACACACAATATAAAAAGCCTTCGAGAGGTCAAACGTTGCGAGAACGGTGCGGGAGGGTGGGCAATTTTGATTAAAACTGTCTGTGATAAAAAAAAAAACTAGTGTGGAAAGCGCAGACGTGGTAGAGTGGAAAGGAAAAAAAACCATGTTGATGTGTTGCGGTACGGACATACTTTGTTAAAAAAGAGTGAATGAGCCTTTCTAAAACTTTAACAGCGGGGCAGAGTAAGAGATGGGCCTATAAGAAGTGGATAATTTATGGTCCTTTTCGAGTTTGGGTAGGGAGATTTTATCTTCAAATTTTACCACAATTGAGGGATAATATTTTCAGACAGCGACATTTTAAAAAGAATGGTTAAATATTCAAGGGCTAGGGGTCCCAGATGTTTTAAGTGAATGTTGCAAAGGCCATTCGGACCAAGCGCTCGCGAGGGTTTGCTGTCCGCAATGGCTTGTTCAGTTTGTAGAAGGGAGAAAGTGGGGTTATCTAACAGGGTGAGCTTAGCTATTTTACGTCTAGTTTTCCAGAGTAGCTTATCTGACGCACGAAACCTGGCATTTGTTAACTGTTTATTAAAAGCCTTGGCTATGTCTGTATCTGAAGAGATTGTTTTTGATTCAAATTGAATAGGGTGCCTTCCTACTACAGGCCTAGATCCGTTTAGGGAGCGTACCGCTTTCGGAAACTTTCTGGCACCAGTGCGGTAATCACAGGTCTGGAGGAATTTACGCCATTTGTTTCTCCTATTTCTCTGGATAGATGGATTGCTGGCTGGCTGGATAGCTACATGGATGCATGGCTGCTGTATGCTAGATACTGGATGGATGGCGAATCTAGCATGCAGCTGAGATGGCTAGAATGGCGAGTTGGCTAGATGGTCGGATGTAGGAGGAATGGATATCTAGATGGATGGATGGCTGGATCGAAGATGGAAGTCTGGATGAATGACTGGCTGAAAATAAGGATGGTCCGGCGGATGATATATGGCTGGCTGAGATGGATGTATCCTTGGATGGATGGATAGATGGCAGGGGGGCTAGATTGACAGATAAAAGGCTGGTTGACAGGATCGATGGAAGGCAAAATGGATGGAAGACAAGATGGAATGGCTGACTGAAGAGCTTGATCGATGATTGTCTAGATGGTTGAAAGCAACGATGGCTAGATAGATGAGTGGCTGGATCAATTAATGGCTAGAAGGATGATGGCTTTATGGATGGCCGGTTGGATGAATGCATGGATGGTTTGTTGGATGGACGGCTGCTTAGATGAATTATTAGTTTGTTGGATGGGTAGATAGACAGCTGGCGGGATAGATGACTAGATGAATGGATGGATGAGTTGCTATATGGATAAAAGAATGGGTGGTGGATGAATGAATGTAGGGATGGTCAAAAGGCTGAAAGGGTTGATAGCTAGATGGAGGGTTAGATAGATGGCTTGTTAGAAAGATGATTGGCTGAATAAATAGCTAAATGGATGAATGGCTAGCTGAACGAAGGACTGGTTGATTATCTAACTGGATGGTTTGCTTGACGAATAGCTAGCTGGTTGGATGGCGGGATGAAAGCCGGAACGGATAGCTGATTGGATTGATGGATGCCAGGATAGATGGATAGCT